GCCCTGGATGTGTAAGAGTTTGGCTATGGGTGTCTGGCTCCAAGGCAGATGTCCTGGAGGATGAATTAAGCTCCCCATCAGGAGTGTGCAGTAGATTTAACTGCCTCATAGGCAGTGTCGGCTATCCAAAGGTTATGAGGCTATCTACTAAAGCTCCTGCTAATTTGATCTGCCATAAATCCTTAAAGGTTTTATCAGCAGGAGGAATCCAAAAATAAGCTCATTACTCTTTCTCACCAATTGACTGTGATCTTTTCCCCTAATTTCACTACCAAACCTTTTGAATTGACAGAAAACAGAGTATCAGTGGACAAATTAGACCTCTTCCTGATCACGATGTAGAAGAGGAGGAGCTATGCCAGTATAAGCTATACAAGACTCAATTTTTGCAGCAGGGTTACTGAGGATCCACCCTGCAGAGAATCAGAGCAGATGTGTAAAGTCTATGTGGAAATAGGAGCCTTCCTTTCTGATCGACCTGCAGTGATACCTCAGGCATAGATTAGACCCCAGGAAGGGCATTTCTCATGCTATAAAATCTGGAGGTGGGTGAATATTTTTACAATCAAAGTGACGCTGGGGCAAAAAAAAAAAATGAATAAAAAGAAAAAGCTGGTATGTCTCCAGGAAGCTCTGTTTTTCATTTCACCTGAACTGTTTAGAATTTTTACAACTGAAAATTGCTTCTTTCCATCTGTGAAGCATTTGCTTCTTGGAAAAGATGCACAAAGCCAAGACATGAAAGACATTTGAAATAAATAAATAAACTAATGCATTCTTTGGAGAATCCATGCTGTTTCCCTACTGCTCCCCATTTTCTTATGAAGACCTCTCCACAGATGGAGGGCAGCCGTGGTGTCCTCAGCAGTAATGAGTGAGGGAAAATAACTCCAGTAAGTAAATTACAGTAGCTCACATGCCTGCAGTGTTAATAGATTCTGTTTCTAAAGCATAGGCCACAAACTAGTTTAGTGAGAAGAGGGCATCTTTCACATATGTGCATACAAAAATGTTACAATTTCCAAAGAATAGTTACCTAATAGAATCATCTGTGGGTAGTACTGGTGTAAATACTTTGTGCAGGAATGGCATGGAGGATGTCAAGTGAGGCTACAGCACACACTTCAAAGACAATTCAGGGCTCTGTTCAGTGCCTCTGTTGGCATTATGGTAGCTGAAGATTGTTTTGTACAGCTCAGTAGAGAAAGAGATAAAACAAGTCATTTCTCTGGTCTTTTCCTAACATCCCAAAGTTTATAAGTACCCAATAACCAAAATAAAATGGCAGTGGTGGCTATTGCCAGGTTCATAATTCCTCCTGCTCCTCTATGACTACATCCCTCTTTAAAAGGCATCACAAAGAAAATTACCCAGAATACCTCAACCAAAAATATGGCAGGTAAGTGAGGAATTTTCTTCTGCCCTTTAATCTGAAATGATTGCAATATAGCAGAGAGAATGATGTCCAAGTAAAGACAACACCAAGGGCAGATACTCGCTCAGAAAGAACTGAAGTCTTTCAATGGACTTGGGCCAAAGGATGCTGGCTCATGCTGACTTCAGGTTTTACCCAATGCTTTTCTCCCTGGAAAGGAGTTACCAAGCGTCCTTCCATATGCTCCAGGTAGTGACAAAGTTCAATCAGTGACAGCTGCCAAATTCTGCCTGCCCAGGAGCAGGGATATGTGTTTGCTAAGGGTTTCACTGGATTCAGAATCAGAAAGCAAATGTTGCATTGGCAGGCAATAGAAAAAGTTATTGGGCTGTCGTCTCTCAAAGTGATTAATTATTCAATGTGACTAAAGTGATTGATTAATAAATTATTTAATGGAACTTCTCCTAATTGTTGCTTAGCAGCTATAAAAAATTGGAAGGAGTTATTTTGGAAAATTGCATACCATCCTACTGTCAGGTGTGTTGATTTGCAGCTAGGTGGTGGCACCAGCCTCCATGGTCGACCAAACTGGAGACCACATTTCCTTCATGATTTGTGTTGCTGGAGCTAGGGATTGTATTTGAAGAATGCAGGAGAGGAGCCAGGTCTGGTAAGGGCCTGAGGAATCCTTTTGTTATTCGGATTGAAAGCTTGCCTGGTTATGTTGAGAACAGAGAAGATTTTCTCCCTCCTCTGTAACTATCCTGAAGAACAGAAAACATGGATGTGATCTCCTTTGGAAGCTCATATATTGCTGTAAAATAGACTCAAGAGTAAATCTATTCTTCTTAAATCTTTTCTTTAGCTTACTGTAATTTTGGGTACACCAAATATCAAGCTTTGAGGAAGAAAAAAAAAAAAAGTGAAACCCCATAAAGGCCATGTGTTTGATCCCAGGCTCAACAAGGCGTTGTTCTGTAGATGAATTTGCAAACCTCGGTTCTATCACTCTGCTAAAGTGAGAGCTATCAGGGTCTCCTTAATGTGTTACACAAAAGGGCTGCAGCACACAAAGCCTGGAACACATCAGTGTGCAGATCCCAAGAGGGTCCTGTGGAGTCTATTACTTTGATGAAGTGGTATTTAAAATTGCATTACCCAGCAGCTGTTTAACCCTCCAGATGTTGCCCCTGTGGAGTGTTTAATAGGACGTGAAGTGCTGGTAGGCTAGGCCATAACCTCATGTCATCCATTCAGCAGGTCACATCAGGTCTTACCATCTTCTTCTAAATCAATACAGGATGACCTGACATAGCAACTTTCCTCATCTGCTGTTCTTTTTTCTCTTTATTTTTCCATTACTGAGTAGAAAAATCGGAAGACAACAAAATAAATCCAAAGGAATGGGAGAAAAGAAGGAGATCCGAAAGCAAACAAACTCCCAGAAACTTTTGTTAAAATCTCAGTTCGTGTTTTCCCTTTGTGTGCGCTGACAGCCCCGATCCAGCAGCTTGGTGCTGCCATCTGCTGTTGCTCCTGCTGCTCACGCTGCCCACATTCTTGAGCAAAAATAAATCAGCATCATGAATAAATAAAAGGTACATCAAAAGGGAACTAGGTAAAGAGCCTAGAATGGGAAAATCTCAACCTTTAATTTTTGGCAGCATTTTCGAATCCTTGTGTAACATGTTAGTGGTAATTCTTAGGGTCATCAAAAAGATGAGGCATGATCAACTCAACTTTTGGGAACGTTTAGTCTGGAATTTCCTGTGGCTATTAGGTCGAGGACCTGATGCTCCACAGTTTTTTTCATGGTTTAGATATTTGGTGCCACAGGTATTTGTTTTACAGAGCTGGCTTCCAAAATCAATTGAAACCAATCAAGGAACAAACTTGTTTTGATTAGCACAGGGCACCTGTTAGATCACACTTGCAAAGATGAAACTCTCTGTCCGAAGGCTGGATACCCTCTGGGGCATCATCAGCTTTTAAGAACATTAACAAAACCCCTTTGTTCACCAGAAGGAATTCAGCTGGCATATGACTTGTCCCATCACCCCTCATTGGGCTGTCGGGTATCTCGCCGGGCTGTAGTTCTGCCACCATCTGGGTTAAAACACAACCCTGACAGGAATTTTGTTTTGGAGGTAGATATGAAAATGAGGAATGAACTTTTGTTGTGGAGGTTTCCTTGCAGCACAAACAAATTTGAACTTTTTATAGAGTAAGAACAGTGACATTGGGGATGTTGAAAATAAAAAACATTTTACTGTTGTTACACAGACATCTATTTTTTCCTTCCATACTTTTTTTTTTGTGTGGAAACCTATTTACACTTCTCAGCCAAATCTTTACCAACGATTTCAACAGGGCCAAGATTTCAGTCCTTGCCAGCCAGTGTTAGCACAAATGTGATAGCTGTTACTATGATTATATCTATGGAGAACTGGTACTTAGAGGAAATAACAGCTTACTGGCATCTCTTCCAGTGAAGTTTTTGAGATTCAAGTATCAAGAATGTAGACATGTATCGAGCTCACTGTGCCAGCACAAATAATCTCTTAACACATGACTGCAGCCACAGAAATCAGTGCCAGCACGTCTCTCTCAAATTTGAAAGAATTGACCACTTCCTCTCACTGTTACAAAACCCTGTGCAGGAATGTAAAACAGATACTAGAGCACATGACAGCTCAGGAATGGATGTCTGTCACACCAAGCTCTTGACAAATGTGTTTTTCATCACCTGGCTCCACCTTCTGTTATTCTAATAGCATCCTATGGAGTGGTATCCTGTGGAGTGGTATCTTGGAAGTATTGTAGAATCTCCTTGCCTGATACAGATAGCAGGAGTAAAGCAGCATTTAGTGTGGCAGAGGTTCTCCACTGTCATCCATAAAGCTGGAGCTTGGGAAATTAACAAGAGTTGTGCTGTAATTTCTATCTCTGAGGAATGGTCTTTCTTACCTTTGCAGATCCATCTCCTCCGTCACTTACCTCTTCCAAAAATGCAAGGCTTTGAGAGTCCTTTGGCTGCAAGAAGAACAAGTATCTTTGCATCCTCTCAGGATGAAGTAGCTTGACTCAAAAGAAGAATTTTCCCTGTGTGTGCTTTAGTGAAAAGATGCAAACAAGGTGAGAGAGCAGACTGGTGCTCACAGAACAGCAGACCTCATGCTTCAGGTGTGGTTAGTGCCAGTGGGACAGAATGGGCTCCCAGCCTGGGAACTGCCCAATCTTGGTAGGCACCCACCACTACAGTTCTGAGACAAAAACTGTGCTGCCAAAGACTCAGTAGACCTAAACCCAAGTTTAGAAATCCTACTAATACACCCACAAGTCATTTTAATCTCTTCCCTCTCCTCACTTCCCTCCTGTTCTTGTCGAGCCCAAATATCCACAGGCATTTGGTATAATGCAAAATGTAAAGTGAATTGGCAACAGAATAAATCTGAAACGCAGATATTTGAAGATACATTTAGAGAGAGAAAACCGCTTTAATATATTTGAGTTGCAACTGGAACATGAGTGCATGTGGAAGAAACAGGACTTTCAGCTCATCTTACCAGACTTCCAGAGCAGAGCCAGAGCCAGCTGCACTGGCAATAGGGCTGTAAGTGTCAGCCTGGGGCTGGAGCTCGTGTTCATGCCTCTGGGAGCAACGGGGAAATGAAAATCACCATGGCTGTGCTGGTGTGGATGTAACTCGTGTGCACTTGATGAGCGCTTCGCAGGGGAGCCAGAGAGAGCAGGCAAGGGTGCATGGCAACTGTGGCCAAACAGGGCTCTCCCTTCCAGGCCACGCACACTCCATTAGCCAAAGTAACCAGAAACAGGTGAGCTGGCCTTTGAAAATCAATAGTGTCACCATCCCCATGTCTTCCAGGGTACAAAGAGCACTTATAAAAACAGGTTTTACTGGGTCATATTGCACAGTTCAGTTTACTTTTAAGTATCAAGGTCTTGTTTAAATGGTGCATATAACAATTAAAGAGAATTCAGTCATTACCAAATTTTAGTCTCATCTGACCTGAAAATTCTTATTCTAATACCTGCATTTTGGGTATAATTGTTGTCAAAATATCATCTTCTGAACATAGAAGCGTCAAAAGATTTAAACTGCTATTGTGGCTATCCTGTATACAATGCAAAAAATATATTGTTACTGCAGAGGAAAATTACTTGTTACATGCTTCTCACATAATATCTTTATTAAACATTTGGACAGATATGCATCCATTTATTATATAAGTAATCTATGGGTTCTTAGTTTGCAAATGCTGGTTGAAAGTTCACAAGAGCAGGCTTTTCTGTGAACTTTCTGTATTTGTAAGTTCAGTCATTGAAATAAATCCTGAGCCTATTGTCTGCTTAGCAGCACTTTGCACTGAACCCCAGTGGCTAAAGCTTGGAGCTCTGCATCTGAATATTTCAAAACCTCTGACCAGCTTGCTTGGAGTTTGTTTTTCTTCTTAAACAATGCAAGTTGTTCTGGAAAGAACATATAATTGCAATTATCTGATAGTCAAATCCTTAGTCACTAGCATAACCAATCTCCACTACCACTAATAGAGGTTTCATTGGAGCAAAGCTTATTGCAGCATTTTGTAGTTGTTAGAAAAAAAGTGTTCTTTGTGCGTGCTGTAGTTCAGAGCTGTAAGGTCTTTGTGAATGGTTACTCTCAAAGCGCTACAGAAGTTCCCCGGTTCAAGGTGGCTCCTGGCTCCTCGGAAAAAGGAATGTGGGCTTCCAGCCTGGGAGGAGAGAAATAAGTGAAAAAGGAGCATCCCTGGGCTAGGCAGGACAGGTCTGCTTAGTGCAGTTCTGCAGCCTGGAGAGTCAGTGCTGAGCTGGTTCACAAGGAAGAAAGGTGAGTGCTGACCCCAGTAAACACAGTGGGCATCCATGAATCCAAGGCATCAATCGCAGTGAAAGCTCCTCCAGCCCCATTTGTCAGAGCAATAGGATTTTCAGATTATAAAACCAGGAGTCACTGTGTGGTCACCTAACCACATCATTTAGGACACAGGACATCCTTGAATTTCATCCAGTTTAAACTTGAGTAAATCTTTTAGATTTAAAAAACCCAACAACATCTATTCTCGATTTAAAAATTGCTAATGGTAGAAAAGCCACAATAACCTCTTGCAATCCACACCAGTAGCTAAGTATTTCCCTGGTGAAATGTGTAGCCTTTTCATCCTGTGTATTTGTCCAGCTCCAGCCACAAGGTCTTTTTATATCTTTTCTTGCTAGATTGGAAGAGCATTAGTCCTGAAGTAAATACTTACCATCTACAACCAAAATCCTTAAACTTTTTCTTGGCATGCTTAAATGATTGCACACCTACCACTTCTATCCAAAGATGCTTTCAAGCCTTTTAGTTCGTCTCAGAACAATCTTTTAGAGTGCCTGAAGCAAACACTGTACTTCAGAGCTCAACATACATACAGAGGAAACCAGGACTTCATGCCAAAAATGCATATTCCCAGGGTTTACATTAGTTCCCAACCAGTTTTGTGCCTGGAGTTGACACCCAGTTAATGTCCTGGACATGAACCAGTTTATATATCCATATCCAGTTTAAGCCCATTGACCCCTGGTGAGGCGTTCTCCCCACAGCTCATACAGCCCCTACAACTTGTCTCTCTGCACCTGACTTCACTTTTCTTCAGCAGATAAATAACAATTGTTCAGTCATACAACTTCACATAATCAAACACTTCAACTTTTTGCTTCTAAAGTTCCTTCAGTCCTCATTTTAGATGGAGGAATCTGGAAATCTTCGTAATGATTGTCATGTTTTCAGTGATGATTTTAATAGTAAAATTTGTACCATAATTTTTCAGGACACTGTCAGAAGCAAGGCTGCTCACTGCTGAACTGTTCAACTGCAGAAATATTAGCCAGTGTCATTGGTACTCTGCATACCTTCATTTTCCTGAAGTCACACATTATTATTCACTTCATGTCTAAGGTATTATATAAAGTTACTGTGCTGCATTTTCAGCTCAGAGAGGTCTCTCTCAAATAATGTAAGGAAGGATAGCAAGTGCAAGTAATTTTCTGAGCTCCTGTCACGCTTCTCAGGTAAGAGGATCAAGTTATTAATTAATCAGCTCCATGAACTAATTAAAATAATATATTCTGCATGTACCAACTCATATAACATATATAGGTGAAATGAAAGCCACAGCAAATATAAATAAAATTTTCACAATAATTTAGTGACAGGCCATGAAAAAGACCCTGGGAGGAAAAGGGAAAAAACTCTGTTGTGCCTTGTTTTATTCATAAAGATGAATTAACTTTCTTTCTAAAAATGGTTGATACTCAGCCTTGGTTCTGCATGTCAGCTCCTCTTCTTTTCCCTCTTTGAAATGCTGAACATCTTTTGATATGTTTGGTAAGTCTCTATTAATCGATTCCTATCAGACTGCTAAAACGACACGTATCATGGAGGAAAAAGTTGCATAGTTCTCCTTCCACATGGACCTCAGCAAAAATAACCAGCTGCAAACAAGCAGGGATGCATATTTTCCATGATTCATTCTGCAGAACCCAACATAGGCTGTGGGACTGTTGTACAGAATTTGAGCTTTCACAGAAAAAAAAATGCTACCAGGCGAGGCGGCCTGATGGTGAGGGAAGTCTTCCCAAAAAGGAACTGAACATGAATCAAGTCAGGATGACTCAGATTGTTTTTGTGATTCTGCAGAGAGACAATCTGAGATAATAGCTGGGTTGTGTGAACTATTGCTATAATTTATTACAATAAATTTCAAAATACAATGACTTACTATTGTGAATTGTTTTTTTATTTTCTCTCTATATATCAAAAGCACTGTAATATCTAGATTTCTAGCCCCTCTGTATGAATAAACACATATAAAAATATATATAGAAGTCTTCTGTATGCTTCATAGCAAATATGCGAATTATCATCTTAACAAACATAGCAACACTCCTTTTGTGTGCTCAGTGAAGTGCACTTTGATAAGAAGACAGTAATGCGTAGCAGGAAGATTGAGTTATGATGGGAGGTAGCTGGCCTTAGGACATCAAAGAATTTGTAATTCTATCATTATATGTTGAAGCTTGGAGCTTATGACAGAGCTTTCTAGGTAGTGGGTAAAAAAAAAATGACTGAAAAAATAAGCCTGGGCCTTTGCTTAAATTCATAAATTTGGTTTTTTGCTGCTTTGGATTCAAAGAAAGAAAGAAAAATGGTCTATTTGTGTTTCACAACAACAATGGTACTGTAGGCATCTGTACAAGTAAAGGATATTTCTGTTGTTTGCGTGTTCTACATGCAGGTTAAGTAAATGGTTTTAATTTAACCAACCAGGTCCCATGACTCAAGGTGAGAAAAATTCTTCTTTAGTGCTGTTCTCCATCCTTTGCCAGAAAGCTGTTCCCAATTGAAACTATATTTATCTGTTATTTACCAGTTTAGTCAGCTGAGGACAAGTTGTTCTGAAAATGTTTGTCTAAATCGGCCAGCCAGGCGTCAAGAAATAAAAGGAGAGGAGTGGAAAGAAAAACCAATATGGAAACACATCTGAAATTCCAGGGAAAACCTTTCTGTTGACTTTATGAGGATATAGCCAAGATCTGGAGTCAACAGAGAATTATGGCTATTAAAATAAGGGAAAGAGACTAGAGACTGTAAAGAAAGAAAAGGCAGAAAAAGGAAAATAGAGGGAACTTCCTAGATTCCCATTAAAAAAAGGCAGGGTCAGGGAGAGGAAAATGGAGGTTCAGCTGCAAACAAGCAATGGAAGGGAAGGAAAACTGAGAAAGTAAATTAAAATATGTATGATCATTGATTTTAATGGATAAAGATACCAGTCATTGACCTGGTTTCCAAATTTTCCTGAATGGGTGGTGGAGGCATAGGCTGGTTTCTCTATGGATAGGATATTGAAATAGCAGGAAAATTCAGAGAGATTATTCATGTCTGAAGCTTTGGGAAGATCACATCTGGTAGTAAAGAAAAGATTTATATTCAATTTTAAATTGCTTGGAAATGATTGGGGAATTTTTGTTTTGTAATTATATTTGGGGTCCTCCCTCTTAGAGAATGTTTTAATTTGCGATTTTTACACTGACAAAACAATTTTAGTAGAGCACAGTGAGTGCAGCGAGTATGTGTCAGCAATGACCATGAAAGGACAAACACCACATAGGGAGCCTTATAGGATTCACGAAGGACAGAATTTAAGCTTAACCATGAAGAAAGCCAACTTGTTAAGAAATGTGTCTGAAACAAAATGACTAGTAAATCCTCCAAAAATCAGTCTTTGCGGGGGGAGTAAATGTGGAAGGCATATTGTCTTCTTAATCCAGAACAGACTGACGCATCTTTTGAAGAACAAACTGAAATTCTTTCTAAACTATGAAATCTTGAAGGGAGACCAGGCATGAATTTACCAGCCAGTAAAAAGGTCCTTTAGCCGCTTTCCTCTTGTCCCAGCCAGACCTCCACATGCTGCTCCCTTGTCTGTTTTTTAAATACTAACATCCAAATATGTAGCAAGTAGAGAGATTGGTGGATGACCAACAGATGGGTAGTTGGTAGATAGAGGCCACTTAGTTTCTTCCACAATTTTCTGCTTTGTAGTTGCTTTATTTCCCTTATCACATCTCCCCATCTGTCCTTTTTGAGTTGGCTTCCAGTGCTGAATGGTTTCCATTTTTAATATACCATACATACATAATTATATCTTTCCCTGTGGACATAGGCAAAGAGCTTGCAGTCTTGACAACCACATTATAAGTGATGGAAACATGTGCTGTCAATGTCCAAGCTAGTAGAAGAATATAAGCCTCCATTATTTTCAGAGTTTACTACATAAGATGACCTTGTTAGCTCAGTCTTACGAACATGGATCAGGACAGAGATGAGCCATCGCAATAAATATCTGTCATATGATGCAGACCTAATTCTCCATGGCCACCACTTTCCTGCAGCACATTGAGGTACCAGTGTTCTCATGCACTGAAGGATCCTCCTCCCTCTTGTGTGTTTACCCATGTTGTGGTGTGCCTCTTCCAAGCCCCCGCTTGCTGCTGTCAATGCCCTCCTCAGGCTGAGGCCCCTCCTAGCACACAGGCACCAGTCTGGTTCTCCAGGAGAGCAGTGTATTGGTCTTTCCCCTTCCATGTACATAAAAAAATATTCTTTGCACAAAACCAAAGACTAATTTTGTCAGACTATTTCTCCAGGTGCTTCAGGAATTCCATATGGAGAAACCAGCTGACAAAAGCAGCCATTGATGATGGACAAACTGCCACAAAGCTGTTCCTTTTCCTAGAATGGAAATGAATTCTCTAGCACACTACACTATTACCTCCCAGGCAGCAAAAGACCCATCTAGGATTGCAAAAAATGTGCTATAAAGCCTTATTACCAAGGGGAAAGAACAGTTGGTAGCACTGTCCCAAGGAGCTATGCTTCAAAAGCACCAGCCTGTAGTTCAAAACCTTTGAAGCTCTCTCAACATGAGCAGATCTTCCCTTCTTCATCAGCAGCTGAGCCAGGTTTTGAGCCAGCAGTGTTTCCAAACAAATTGGTAGTAGTAAAAATTGTAGTAGTAATACTGCCCACCCCTTTCCATCACTGGAAGGGTTTGGAAAGCAATCTTCCAGCAGAGCTGTGCCCGTCGCACACAGAGCGGGCAGATGCAGAGAACATCTGTTTCAAAGGATGTGCCAGCAGGGCAGGCACTGTGACATCAAATGTCAGCGTACA